ACCATGTCTTGTGCAACTCTCCCACATATCTGTATCATTAATACAAAACAACTGAAGAATCTGTTTGTATTTATTTGTAAAATTAATGGCCAGATATCATTTTTCATTTATTCTTAAAGATTTTAACAACACCTTACAAGGCATTAATATTTTGCAAAACAGACAAAAACTCACACAAACAATTGTTAAACCATTTTTTTTATTTATTTAGCAATAAAAATCTAATAATGACTTGAATACTTAAATATATCTACATAAATCGAATTGTATAATTACCTCAATCTAAGTTCATCTCCATGCATTAGTTTCATGTCGCTGTCAGTTTTAGCGAGAGTGAAGAAGGCAATTGTCTTCTTGTTCAAGCCCACATCCCAACGTACTTCTATACCCTCCTGTGTCTGGGATTCCTTCAGCCTTTTGTCATAATCCGCTTCTAATTTCACAAGTGGGCCAAATATATTTTGGTACTGGTAACCATCTTCATATCTGAAATAATATAAATAAAAAATTAAATACCAACCACAATTTTTTTTTTGACATTCGAGACATTCTACGCACATGTACAATTTACAAGAAAAATAAGATTTTACGTTTAGTTTAAACATTATCGATTTCTAATATATAAAAAAAATTGTAATGTAATTTTGCACCTTAGCAGAACCTGATGGGGCTCCTCATCTACTCCAGGTTTCTCCAGATCTTGAAACGTCGCATCTACATTGTCACGCCAGAGTTCCTCCAGACGGCCGATTTGTTGAGGCGACACCTGATAAAATTACAAACTTATACACCAAGAATCTCCTAATTTCATTTGGTATGATGGATAAATATTAAAAATTTATTAAACCCAGCTAACTGTTGACCCTGAAGAGAAATATATGAATAGTAAAATTGATTCAGTAAGTTAGGCTCATTTAGGTTCATACACTTGAAAACCAGGAAGGTTATATTTTAGAGTCAGTCAATTTTAATAAACTTAATATACAATTAACCCCTAAATGTATGATATATACATCAGTCTTTTCTTCCTTACCAAAAATCGTTTTTTTCTTTTTTTTTTTCTCTTAATCTATGTTTAATTTACTACCCGTTTCAATTTATGGCATTTAAAAAGAAAAAGTCGTGCATTTAAGGGTTAATAATTTACTTACTTGACGTGCCCTCATTTGCTCCGTTTCCGAGGGCACCTTTACCAGCCAAGACAAGAAGGCTCGGTCAGCTGAAGAGATAAATTTACATATAAAATCTCATTTTATGTTATAATTATAGAAAAGTTAGTTGAAGACTGAAGAAAGTATAGATGACTTGAATGAGAGAGGATGTGTAAACAGGAGTGAATTCAGATGAGACCTGATAGTATGGAAACATACTGTGAGACCCTCAGTAAAGAAAAGGGCACTTTTAATTGGGAACATTAAAAACTTACAAATCAACGGTTTCCATTGTTCTTGATCCCAATTCATATCTTTCAAGGAACTTTGAGCTGCACATGGTTGACTGAAAATATAATATTTGTGAGTACATAATACTAGATGTAACAACATAATTGCTTTTTAAGTTTTTACTTAAAAATTTGATCATTGTCATTGATTTGAACTTGATAGCTGCCTGCAGATGTGTTAGTATACCGTAAGAATGTCAGATAAATGTAAAATATGCAAATATGAAACTAGAAAATAATAAAAACATATTGGTACAAGAACAAGTCAAAATGCTTAACACCTAAATGACACTTTATTGCAAAATATATTTTTTTGTTATGCAACAAATTACACAGTTACATAAACATAATAAGGCATATAAAAGCAGTAAAAAGTAGATTATTACATCTGTCATTATTACAGTATCATATAGATAAAAATCTGGAGATTCCCGATCCTAGTTTGAACAATATCTAAATTTTTGTATATTTATCTTCAAAGTTTGTCTACTTTTCAATATAATTATAACCAATATGAAACTCACCGACACAGCAATACAACAACAGAGTCCGCTTTAGCGGGTATGAAACCGAGGACAAAAACATTCCTCGCTCCACACGAATAACACTCCAGTAATGTTTCCCCGAGAGGTCCATCTCTATGCAATGCTGCTTCCTTATGTTTAGCTCTCACTAGATGATTGATGATATGGGAGCCTGATGTGTTACCACGTCCATTACAAAACCTACAAAATAATTATTTTAGTAGGAACGATTTGATTTTTGTATGTACTGAAATAAATACAGGCTTAATTTCAAATTCCTTCACTATTAGAAAGTTTCATTATCACTGAATAATAAAGTATATAGATTACAATTTTTAACCCCTGCACTGATGTGGTCATGAGCAAAAACTAGTATATTTAATATATATAATTATTAGACTTTGTTTATATATCAATTTTTAGTATTAAATTCATAGCAATTGAGTTTTTACTATCATTTTTTTTAGTGTATTACAAAAAAACCCATGTTTCACAGTATATGTTGAGTGCAAAATACAACCTCTTTGGCTGACAAGCAGTATGTATACAGCCAAAGAGGTTGCATACTGGCCACCAAGGCTTTTACCGTTGGTTAAAGAAAATATATAAAAAAAGATGAATAAGAAGTCAAGATGTGATCCAGATAGTTTTGAGTTTTTTTGTATATATTTGTGTAAATAAGTTTTGTTAACTGTCGGTAACAAGTTAAACAGTATACGCTCTAAATATTTTTGGCTATCAACCCTTTTTTACTTTATTGTGTATTTTATATCAATTAAAAAATATATTTAAATATTAGCATTGTTATTTCAACTATATACTCCTGGGAAAAAGCTACATGTCAGTCAGAAAACATGAGATAGTACTAAGGTTATAGTAATGTTTGGTATCAAAATAAAGCATTGTTTTGATGTATTTATGTAACTTACCACTTGTTACATATGTTACACATTACGACAGTGGCGGGGTCGTGGATACCACAGTACTTGCAAGCGTGATCTGGCAGCTCCTTACTTCCATACAATGCCTCATCTTCCTCCTCAAATTGCAATTCTGCAATAGTATTGGTGACGCCAGTGATCTTAGAACTTAAATCTTGACGTCCTATTCCATTCACCTAAAATATAATAATAAATTACAAGTAACGTAACAGGTGACATTAAGGTTATGGTATTCAAAGGACCACTGACTATTTACCTGGTTAGATGTACTTAAACCATGATCGTGTTGCGACGCCTGAGTTTGGCTCTGTGATGGTAATGTAAAATCTGTGAATTCAAATTCGGACCCCTGGGTATCAGCACCAATAAGATCCGCTTCCTCCGTGTCCAAAAACGTTAGAGTTTGAGAACTAGGTCCGTATGCGTCGACACTCATTTTTACAAGATATGTTCAGGATGATGAAATGAATAAAAATGTCTCAAAAAGGAATATGATGCACAATTAAACCAACATCCCATAACAACTACGTAATAGTCAAACGTGTTGCAGAGGATGATGTTGATGATCAAGAAAGTTCGCCATATTAGAAGTAATTTAACATATGGTTTGTTTCCGTCAGCAAAATAAGTGGCGATTGGTGATTCAAAGCGAATGAAGTCAAAGCCACCAATAGCATTGTCAGAATTCCTTTTTCAGCCAATAACATATGTTGATGACGAATAACCATAGACTATATAAACTTTCTGCAAATGTCATAGTGCTACAATGATATAGTCAAACAAGGATGTCGAGTTAGGGAAGCGCTGCTGTCGAGAAAAACCATGAAATGACAGCAACAGTATGAAAAGGATCTTTTGACAATCTTTTGACGTTGGTACTAGTGAGCCGTTACAATTTAGTTTAAGATATGGCCACGGGGTCAAATATTCCTCTCGGTCTATGCTGCTCCGGTATTGTTTTTTTTTTACATAGACGATTATGTCATAGACAAACTATGTCACTTTGGTCACAGATATACAATAAAGGATACATGAATAAAATGAATACCTATTTTATTTTATACATCTGTATTTACATATATAATAAAATGTATATGTATATATAGGCATGAATTATTGTATACCCACTGGAGAGTAATTATGTTTGTCACAGTTAAGTTTGTATGTTTTATTTCGACCTCAAAGAACTTGGAACATGAGGAGTCTTTCAGTAAGTATTATTGAACATAATTTCATTCTTTAACCTTTTTTTGAGCGCGTTTACTGGAACTAGTTCCCTAGTCGACTATATCTATTTTCGGCTTGTCAGCAAAGTTGGCACTGGTTTCTGTAAATATAGGTCGTATCGACAGAGTAACGACATTGAATTAGTTGATTAATACTGTTACTAAAAGAGACCTTTAGTAGAGACTCAGAGTGTACAAGTTACCGTTATTTAAATCTTAGATATAGACGCGGTAAATGTATGGAGTCTTGTAACATTTACTTTTTTAAAGATAAGTATTTAATAAACCTTTTCATAGAATATCTAGTGAAATCAAGTAATTTTCATAGGGCATTATTCACATTTCCAATTTTCTCTTTTTAAATAAAACAACTATAACGCGGCATACTTCGCTATACCACTTTCACTGTAGTTTGCTTTTTATAGCAGTATAGTCACAAAAAGAATCTGTCGGTTAAAAATCCACAATTTGTTGTCGTTCTGAGAATTACTTTTTTTCATTTATAAGCGCCATATTAGATTTCGAATCGAATTCTGGACGTCGTCATACAAATAGTAAAGAAATAATCGGGTTTGATCGTTTTTAGTTTATTTCATACAAACAATGACCAATATAGTTAAACTTATTAAATATTTCTTGAGACATTATATTAAACTAGTTAAAAATCAAGGCTTAACTTGCCTGTACATAGGTTATATTGTTACTGACGAGTTCTAGACCCATCGAAGGTTCTTTTTAGAATCAGTAGATGGCGTGACGCGACTATTAACCCACAAACCCTGTTATTTAAACCAGGCATATATGTACTTTGATGGATTTTGTTAGTTGTAGTCGGCACATAGTGTCGGGAATCGAACCCGAACCATAGATTGTAATTTCAGTGCCTAATCAATACGAAGCCGATCTAGAATAAGGTAAAAAACTGTCCTTGGCTATAATCTTAACTATAAGTGGTGAGTATTTTTTTATAATTGGTTTTTAAATTTGTTTTTTACTTAATTTTATATTTATTGATTTTAACATAAACGCAATAATTGATAAATTGTGATATTAGCTGTATCATTTTTATTGTAACTATAACGTTTTAATTATATCTTTTATTATAAAGAAATAAAGCTTGCACCCTAAAGTCCCTGACCCAAACATGTTGGGGGGAATTAGAGTGAGGCATAGAGCCGCCCAATAAAAAAAAATTATTGGCGAATGTATACATAAGTATAGTAGTTAGTCTAGAAATAATTTAGAACTTATCACATACTGAACGCTACGAGATGATCTTGCGTATTGCAATGGAAACCACAGAAACGCGTAATGTTATAAAACCGATAGATACAGTGCATTTTAGTCTAATTTAGACAGCGGCCGGTTTGGCGCCGCGCCAGTCCAACATAGATTTATCACTTCGTACATAAATAGGAACATCATCAAAGAATTCAGAAGTGTTCGCTCTTCTGCGAGCTTCCGCGAATAAATATTACAAAAAAAATGTCTACTTCTGATTACATCGATATCTTTTCATATTGCAACTAGCTGTTCCCGTGTGGCTTCACCCGCATTAAATTATAAAAACATTATTTTAATTGTCAAATTATCAATTACAAATATCAAAGTGACATGACATGATGACAACCTTGCTTCCTTGATGTTGGCAGCAACTTATGGTCTCTTTCCCACATTAGGCTTCATTCAAAATATTAACCACCTAAGTTTAATGGCGTCAAAATATATAGATTAAATCGTGACGCAAGTGTAGGGCTTTTTATTAAAAAAAGAGATATTCATAAATATGTTGTAATTGCTGACATCTTAGGCAACAAAGAAGTGTGTGTTTAAGCTTTATTATAATAGTATAGCATAGAAGTATAGATATAAAATCTTTCAAAGTAGATAGTTTGAAGGTTAAATTCGTCTTGTAGTAAAAAACATAGCGCAAACAAATCTTACAAATTAAGTTAGCCAAGTTTAGCGAAAAATTAAAAACGTAGGCTTTTGTAATTATGATAAACGTGTATCGAGATAATATCATTTCATAAAATCATCTTAGTCTCCATTGAGGAGCTCGGAGATTTTCATAAGTTGGAGGCGACCATCCCTTAGACTATGCTGGCCCAGTATGTGTTAGTTGACATCACACAAATCTTCAAACTTCTTTGCTATAAAGTAAAAATGGAAGAAAGTTGTTAACGCTAATTGGCGTACAAAGTACAAGCTTCTTCAATTAACAAAGGGTTAGTAGGTACTTAAATTGTCAGGGTTACAATAATAAAGCAGTATCAGATTTCGTCGCAGTACTCACAAATCGTCCACTAATTGATGCGATTGCCTCCACTGATGCGAACGATGCCCTTTACCAGATGTTTTGTTTGTACTTTTTCAGAGTAATTGATGTCCGGAATGAGCGTAAGCAGGTTAAATACTTTGAATTGATAATACTTATGTTGTTTTAAGAAGGATCGCATAATATGTATTTCCTGCTGTTATAGTTCCGTGGTCATAAATATCTTTATAACGTTACTATATCATGATAATGATGATTCTACTAAAGAAAGCTTTGAAATAAAATTTGGTCACAATATACATTTTCGGCATAACAAGAGCTTCACAATATCTGACCGTTTTATAAATTTCCCTGGTCATTTTTATTCTAATTTAAAGAACTAGAATATTTTAATACAACAAACCTCTAATTAAGTAGTATAGATTAACAAAGATTTCTGACCCGGTGTGCAAAAGACAAATTAAATTATAATAGCACACTAGCGCCCCCTTGTCAATGTTAGAAATATCCGATTATCTTCTGCGCTGAATGTAAAATGTAATAGAGACGTAGTTAATGGACAAAAGGAAGTTTAAGAATGAAAGGGAGCAATAATAGTATGATTTAATTAAAACGTCTAGCGGCGCCGTGCGACGTGTTCATGACAATTGTCGGCAATTGGTAGGTGGCGCCACTAGTGATGTCACCACTTCGCGCACGAATAGATAAACACATAAACTGTGATTATAAAAATAAACAATAATTAATCACAAAAAACATTTTTTTGTATAAAATTAACTCCGCTTTTTTAAATTTTTTGTTTAAATTGCAAATTCGGTATAGTATTTTCGTCGAAACTATTTTTATAATTTTTTTATAGGAGTCACTATTTAAATACTGGTTATAAACGATATCATTAAAAAAACCTATTAAATTTTATTTTAAGTAGCATATACATTACATATGTCTTCAACGTGCGCCCAAATAAAGAAGTTGATGTTAATATCATAGGTTTTTGCTGTATTGAATTGCGAGAATTTATTAATAAGGCAATCATTAAAGTTTCATTACAATTAATAAAAAAAGAACCTTTATCTGTGAATATCTTTATTTGATTTCCTTTTAATTTAAGGAAACAATTGTTAATGGATTCGTCTGAAAAATATTTCCTCTGATTATATTAAGATAAAAAGTATTTAAAGATTTTGTACATAAAGAACAAAAACTTGGAACCACTTCATGTTTACTTCCGTGCTTATCTGTGATGTAAACAAATTATAATTATTCTGCTTCAATGTATATTGTATTTATTTCATTTAATTCCAATGCTTAATTTACGTAAACTAAGAAATATCAATTTCATAGATGGCGGTAATAACGCTATTCATAGATAATCACGCCATCTATTGAATTATTTTGTAAAATTGTTAGATGAGTCATGAGTCACATTTTGTAAAAGTTTGTTGTTTAAAAGTGTTATTTGACTATCAAAACATATAATTCAGTAAACAAGTATTTGATATCTAAGTTCTTTTCTATTTCCAATCATTCATTAAAGAATAATTTACATTTAATTTAATGTTAACTCAATTAAGTGGAGCTACAGCGACCTAAGGTGGTCCTCGGCCTCTGACAATAAATTCTTCCATTTTCCTTGATTCTGCTTCCTCTAACCACAATCTTAAACTTCGAGCTCCCTTAGGTCTTTCCATCTCATCCAACGATACTTGGGACGGTCAATTTAATATTAACTTTGTACTTATTGTTTTTCTATTTAGCGATCTGGGTGGTATTATTAATTTACATGCTCTTACTAAATTAACTTTTTTCATCTACCTGTGCTTGAGAAGGTCAGTGATAAATGATTTTGAAGGTAAAATATCGTTAGAAATTAAGTTGAATCATATTTTTTCTGCCTGTCCTTCTTAGTACTAGCGCGTAGTGTCCAGAAATTCTTTCGGCGATTTAACTCCGTGACTGGTTTCGAGTTAACAAGTAAAATAAGAGTTTTGTTATTTAGGGACCCACAGAGGTATTTGTTACAACGGCTCCAACTAACAATTGGGATAATTTAACAAACACTGCTTTAACAGTACAGGAATACACAATATAACATAACAAATATTAATTTACAAATATCGGTCAAATAAATACGTAATCGATATCGAGTTTTGTTACCAGAAGTAGCTGTTAGTAGCTGAAACCCAGATAAGTCTTTAAAATTATTGTGATTTGTGGAAACTTGACTTGAAATACTGAAACCAGAATTATAGGTTGAGAATTAGGTACTTAATGTTATTTATTATTTTTCAATTTGACCATAGACGACAGTAATGTTAAATATTTTATTATTTAGGCGTCATGAAGGTAATAGAAATTCCACGCTCCATATGGTTTTATTTTGTTACGTTCGAAAAGTTTAAGATCAGACGAACGATTGGATACGAAAACCTTCTCGGAATCGAACCGACTCTGAATTAACTTTTGTAATCGCGGCCGGACAATGTTTTATTGTAATGCTCAAAGCCGCATGTCGACTAAGGCCACGTACTGACGATACTGTATTTATATCCAAAACGCACGAGACGGGTACTTTATCAGTTCTGTGGTTGCCCGCAAGCTTTGACGTTATCCCAAGTTTTGCGGAAGGTAAAAACAATCGGATGCTTTACGGACGAAAATTTCATCTTGAAAATGGACTCGATGCTTTACGTGACAATCTAAGTT